GCTGACTTTCTGTTGCCTGCAAGATGTAGGACTCTGTTGCAGAATAGAATATTTGTTAACTATGTAAAGATGTATTGTTGTTTTACCTTGCCTGCCTAAGGCACCTAATTGGGTCTAATAAAAAGCTGAATGGCCAATAGCTAGGCAGAGGAGGGATAGGTGGAGCTGGCAGGAAGAGAGAATAAGTAGGAGGAGGAATCTCAGCTCAAGGGAAAAGAGAATGATGGAGAAAGAAGGGAGATTCCAGAGGCCAGCCAGTCAGGCAGACACCAGACAGACAGACAAGGAAGGTGCAGGAAAGTAGGCCATACAGAAGGAAAGAAAAGTAAAAAGCCCTGAGGCAAAATGTAGAGGAAGAGAGACAGGTTAATTTAAGTTCGAAAAGCTGACTAGAAACAGGCCTAAGCTGCGGGTGAGCATTTCTGACTAAGAAGTCTCTGTGTCTTTATTTGGGAGCTGGGTGGCAGCCCAAAGAGAAAGCCTGCTACAGGACTCTCAGGTACCCCTGCAGCACCACGCCTGCCTGCATGCCACCATGCTTCCAGTCATGATGACAATCGACTGGACCTTAAAACTGCAAGTGAGCCCCCTCAATTAAATGCTTTCTTTGTAAGAGTTACCGCAGCCATGGTGTCTCTTCCCAGCAATAGAAACCATAACTAATACAATAGGCATGTGAAATTACCATACTGCTAGCTTCTTAGTGGCCAATGACGTCGCTTCATAATGCCATCTACTAGGGCATTATGTTGTAGTTGAAGGTAAAAGAATTAAGCTAAAATGTAAACTGGGTATAAAGTAACAAATATCATCTGTCCTTACTAGGAGTTGCCTGAAATGCAGTCTTTACTTAGTAAACATTAGACTGCTAGACCACACTGCTTGATTTCCATCATAGTGTTGTCAAATGAGACGGAGCCCTTTAGATCTACAGGGGCTGGAATCACAGCCACTTAGCAGGGCCTCAGAATCAAAGCTGAGCCAAACTGAGACTGCTGTGGCATCTTAGGTATGGCTGGGAAGCATCCTGACTCACTTCAGAACTACTTTCTCAAGAAAACTGAAACAAGTTCCCAGGAAAAATTCATATTACCTTTCTCTTTCCCCTCTCTTGAGGCTAGCGTGCCTGGATAATATCTATGACATCCATGAGTCTATCTTGACATAACTTAGCTCACAAGAAACTAACTAGGGGACTGGGGAGATGGCTCAGCAGATAAAGGTACTTGCTGTACAAGCCTGACAGCCTGAATTCGATCCCCTGTATCCACTGTGAAAGAGAGGACCTGACTCTCAACAACTGTCCTCTGACCTCACATGTGTGCTGTGACACAAGTCCCCCGATGAAGATGATGATAGATAATGCTAGGCAAGGTGGCACACGTCTGTAATTGCAGCACTCAGGGAAGAGGAAGGTGGATCTTTGTGACTTCAAGGACAATCTGGTTTACGTGGTGAGCTTCAGGTTAGCCAAGATCCCATTTCAATAGTAGTAACAACAGCAGCAGCGGCAATACAAATAAACTTTAAAAAATTGGAAGAAATTCCCATAACTCGCTTTCTTTTTTTTTTTTTTTTTGTCTTTTTATTATTTTATTCAGATTTTTAGATGTTTTATTTTTATGTGCATTGGTGTTTTGACTGCATATATGTCTCTATGAGGGTGTCGGATCCCCTGGAACTGAAGTTACAGACAATTGTGAGCTGCCATGTGGGTGCTGGGAATTGAACCTGGGTCTTCTGCAAGAACAGCCAGTGCTCTTAACCACTGAGCCGTATCTCCAGCCCCAAAATTTGACATTTTTTTTTTTTGGTGATTTTTCAAGATAGGGTTTCTTTGTAGTTTTGGAACCTGTCCTGGAACTAGTTCTTGTAGACAAGGCAAAAAAAAAAAAAAAAAAAAATAAAAAGAGCCGGGTGGTGGCGCACGCCTTTAATCCCAGCACTCGGGAGGCAGAAGCAGGTGGATCTCTGTGAGTTGGAGGCCCGCCTTGTCTACATAACTCGCTTTCTGTGTTATTGTTTTTTGTGGGGCAGGGAGTCTTCCAAGATCCTTAAGAGTTTCCCATTACAGCCAGGTGGTGGTGGTGCACAACATTAATCCCAGTGTTCGGGAGGCTAAGGCAGGAGGATCTCTGTCAGTTCGAGGCCAGCCTGGTTTAAAGAGTGGGTTCCAGGGCAGTAGGGCTACACAGAGAAACCCTGTTTTCCATTAGTGGGAGCCACAGGTCATCTGTCCAGTATAACTACATTACACCGGAAGAGAGCACACCAGAAGCAAGCTATGGTTTTGCCCGGAGTGAAATTCTGCACATGTGAATTTTATGCTTCTTCCTAATTCCCATAGGCATACTCAACAACCTTTTACCACAAGCAATCTGCTCCTGGGGATTGAATTCAGTTCTCAAACATTCTAGGTAAGTACTCTGGAGTTGAACTATACACTCAGCCTTGGAAACCTGCTTTAAAAACCCTTTCTTTTGTGCCTGTGACCTTCATGGCCTGAGGCAATGCTATTGTGTGAGGATGTGAGGTTGCTTACTACTCAAGAGGAAGTGTGCACTTAGCTTTTAATTCTCTGGAATACTCTGCACTGTGGGGTTGGTTCCTACTGATACTTCATACATTTAAAGATATTTTAATGCGTCATTACTTTTCAGAAACACAGAATTTATAAAGGAGTCTTGATAAAGGAGTTCAAAATATTACAACAAACATGAATAAGAGATTAAAATTTGGCAAGCTGAATAGCCTTCCCACTTGCTTTTAGAGGAAATAAAAAGCCAGCCAGTCTATTGACTTTAGCTGGGCCTGCCATGCTGCCCATAAGGGTGGGCTGGAGCCCGGGCCCACACTGGATGCCAGAAGTCCTTGGGGGCATCAGTAGTGTCTCTCTTTCAGCTCAGCTTCTCTTCAGGCACACACTGCAAAGCTCTTCTGAGTTCAGCAAAGCAGGAACTAGAGACCCAGAGAGGCTCAGATCCAACCGCTATGACCTCTGGCCCAGTCTCAGCACTGGAAACAGCATTAGCTGTGTTTACAAGTGGCAGCCTTCGTGCTCAGTGTAAGGAAGCTGCCTATTTAATTTTAGAGAACTATTTTAGTTAGGGTGCTCTGAGAAACAGCTCTGTTCTGCCGCATGTAGCCCGAAGTCATGGGGTCCCCAGTCTTCCTCTGTCATTGGTTTCTTATGTATCCTGACCCTGATGCCTCAGGAACCTCCCTCTCTGCTGGGCCAACTTTAGTACATTTCTTCTTCATTTAATTAAGTTCTGTATTTCATTTATAGCTGATATTGCTCAATCACTGTTGAGATTCAGTAATCAATGTGACAAAAACAGATTATACAAAGAGATCATTCCAGTTGGATCCTTCTGCTAGAAAAGAAGGTCAGGGTATTAGAGTTCCCTAGAGGAACAGAGCTTACTGAATCCCTCTCTATGTAGAGAAAGGGGATTCATTAGAATGACTAACGGGCTGTGCCCCAGCTAATCTAACAACGGCTGTTTATGAATGAAAGGTCCAAGAATCCAGTAGTTGTTCAGTCTATGAGGCTGGGTGTCTCAACCGTTCTCAGTATATAGTGGATTTCTGAAGAGGGTTCTAATGCCAGTGAAGAAACGGGCTTGCTGTGGGAGTGGGAGCAAGCAGGCGAGACAGTGCTCTCTTCCCCCTCGTCCTTTACAACAGGCCGCCAGCAGGTGTGGCCCGATTCAAGGTGACTCTTTCCACCCCAAAGATCCAGATTAGAAACGGCTCTCCACACTTCAAATGATTTAATTGAGAGATCTCTCACAGGTGTGCCCAAACATTTAGGTTTTAGTTAATCCCAGGTGTAGCGAAGTTGACAACCAAGAATTGCCACCACAGCTGGCTTCTCTCTGCAGCTGTTTTTGCAACACTGTCCATGTGGGGGAGGCTGGACCCATGGGTGTCAGGCAAGCTATTACTTACAAGAGCAAAGCTTCTTAAGGGAGTATTTTTTATCACACACACACACACACAGTGTACTGAATAGTCTTATGCCAACTTGACACAAGTAGTCATCTTAGAAGATTAATGCCTCATGAAGGCAAGCCTTAGGGCATTTTCTTATTTAGTGGCCTGATATGAAAGGCCCAGTTGGTGTGGAATATTCCTCTTCTACACTACACAGATTTGTCACTCGAATTGGTTTAGTAAAACGCTGATTGACCAGTAGTAGCCAGGCAGGAAATATAGGCAGGGTGACCAAACTACGGATAATGGGAAGAAGGGTGGAATCAGAGTCACTGGCAAACACAGAGATGCAAGATGAGAGTGCACTCCTGAGAAAAGGTACTAAGACATGGTTAAACAGATAAGAATTATGGGTTAAGTGTAAGAGTTATCTAGTAACGTGCTTGAGTTACTGACCGAGCATTTACAGTTAATATAAGCCTCAGTGTGGTCATTTGGAGGAAGCTACCAGATGGGGAGCTGGGGGATGGGACAAGAAACCTCTGTCTACACTCAGTCCTTTGTGGGTGGTACCAACTTGGGCTGGTGGTCCTGGTTCTATAGCAATGCAGGCTGAGGAAGCCAGTAAGCAGCACTCCTTCATGGCATCTGCATCAACTTCTGCCTCCAGGTTCCTGCCCTGTTTGAGTTCTTGCCTTGGCGTCCCTTAATGGACTGTGGACTCAGGATTTTTCAGCCAAATAAACCCTTTCCTCTCCAAGTTGCTTTTGGTCCTAGTGTTTCTTCACAGCAATAGTAACCTTAACTATGCCACTTGCTAAAATTGTTTCCTAAGTTCTTACAGTTGCTACATTTGACTTCAAATAAGAATCTGTACTTCCTGCTAAAACATTTATCCATCAACAAACAGGAACACGCCCTCCCTTCCCTGAGTAAGTCCCTAACAGAGTGGGGACTGATCTGTAAATCCACAACATCCTGTTACACAGACACACGCTCACTGGAAAGACAACTGTCAGGATAAGAATGTAGGAATCTGTAAGCCCAGGCAGCTTTTAACATATATTTTTTTTTATTAAATATGTAAAAAGGTCAACGCAAGTCAAGTTATTCACATCTTCAGAGACAAAGAGCTATCCTACCATGCGACAACAGTGGGCAATGTAAATGGGTGTGAAAGCATCTGAATAAGACCTCTTCATCTAGAATGCCATTACTTATCGATATTTATAATTAACAATACATATGTTTACATTCCTTTCAGTTTACATTTAATATATAACAAAAGCTTTATGGTGTACTATTTAGTGAAAGCAATCTGAATGCATATTAAACCTTAACGGAATAATGGAGACACTCACCAGGGAAAGGAGGGAGTCTTGGCTCCCTTCTGGGGTTTCCTTCTCTCAGTTCAACAGAATGTTTATTTATTTATTTACCTATTTCCTGCTTTTTCTACTTAGAATGAACATGAGCTTTCTCTTTGTCCCGTGCTTCGATCACTTCCAAAATCTAACAGTGATAACGGAAGCGCTATAATCAGACATCAGCGGGCGTGGGATGAACAAAAAAGAAAATTCAGACTTCCTGAGGGAGGAGGAGCAGCGCACACATGCTGGGATGCCTCTGGACCCAATATGATGTCAGGTGATTGGGAGAGAGCTTAGAGGCACGTGAGCCTGAATGCCAAGAAAAGAGAATGTGTCCCACCACCCATCAGCGGTGGGTGCCCAGAGGCAAGAGTTCCAGCCTAAGGATAGCTTGGAAATCGCTGTGAATGACGTCCCCCAAGCATCCATGGCATCGTCTGGGACTTAACACTTGAGAAGATTTTTAAGATGGGTATGGGAAGAAGAGGTACAGCTTGTCTCTAAATGGATGAATGGTCTGGCCCGAGGCACTGGGAAGGAGGAGGAGTATACCAGCTGGGAAACATTATTTCAGGCTAAGACATGTGGCCAGCAGGTCTCCAGCTAAGTAGTCCAGGGAGGTGAAGAAGAACGGGGTGCTTCCGGCAAGAGGCACTGGGAGAGCTTTATGCAAGTTTACCAGCCTCAAGAGGCCTGGGAGAAGACAAGCGCCTGACTCCCGGTACCCATTTACAGGAGTGTGGCTATAAAATCACCCAACCCTGGGCATTACTGAGATCTCCAGGGCAGGTAAAGCAACCACTCTGGTATCCATAAGTAGCTGTTCACTGTACCTCCTTATAATAGCTATTAAATAAACAAACAAAAACACAGTGAGTGAATAAGACAGACTCCGAAGAGCAACAAACCAGTAAGCCTGATGCTGCCCATAGCACGGCCACTGCCACAATCAGGCATGGGAGGATGTCACTGCAAGGAGCAAGGCCTTCCAGCCTCAGAGAGGTGAGCTGCTGCTGTAGGGCTGAGTGAGCAGGAGAGAGAAGGAAGGGGAACCAGACACCATGGAACATCTGTCCATGTCTGCACAGTGCGTTGTGACCATCTCAAGGACGCAAGCCATCTTCCCACAAAGACCTCATTATGTACACCTGGCTGGAAAGGGTGATTTCGGAAAGCCGTCTTTTGTTGCAAACTTCGATGCTAGAATTTAAAGTTAGCATTTCATCAGTTAATAAAGAACTTTCAAAGCTTTATGATGCATAATTCAGAAATTTATTTTGAGTTTTTTTTTTTAAGTGGAAGGTGGGGCGGGCACATTTGTTTCTTGTTTTTCTGCACTTGCTGGCCTAATGACCAGCGACAGGAAACCGAGAGTCAAAACCAAATGAAAGGAGGGAGCTAGGAGGGGCGTCATCTGCTAAAAGGGGGAGACAGGCAACGGTCAGGAAAGACACTAAGAAAATGTGCAAATGTTAGTCAAAAACAAGGAATGCTTTCAATTCACTAATGTCTCCTATTTTTTATGAATTGCCATGGTCGAGCAGATGTCAATGACAAGGGCCCCTGTGTTGCAGAGACAGGGAGGGTCCTTACTCCGGAAGGTAATGGGAGTCACTGAAACCATGCTTCTAATCAAGTCTTCATTTCCAGCTTTGCAGCCAGTCCCAACACGATGCGGAAGGCTGGCATGCCGGGTACACCCTCGATCCCCCTAATTCATGGGAATTGCAGGGCCTGGGTTGAAGCCCTCACAAAGGGGGAGAGGAATGAGGCGGGAAGGCTTGTGCCTTCTGAGACTCCCCCCGCCTTTGCAACTGCAGACTGCCAATGACAACATCTTGCGGGGAATGGACCCCCACCAAAGAGGACCCTGAGAAAAGAAAACAACACGAGAAGCTGGGAAGTGGGGAGGGTGGGCAGGGGTACACGGAGCCGAGGCGAAGCTGAGATGGTGTTGTCTGGGAGTGAATGTCGTCTGTGTGGTTGTCTGATATGCTGCTCTATCAACACTGCTGGGCCCTGAAGTCCTAGTTCTGAATCCATTCTTTTCCCCTTAGTGTTGTGAGTAGAGGGAGAAACTGCGTTTTCCCACGACACAAGCTACTGTCTTATGGCTTTCATATCAAGGATCTGTTTCCCTTTGTTCCAATTACTTAATCTGACCAAATTTATGATAGGAGGTTAGACTCGCAAACATCAAAGCACCACAAATGCGTGTGACATCTAGTGACACTGGGTTGAGAAATGCCAATATAAATACCATATATCAAATTACCATTGTTTCACACCAGGATAAAAAGGGGTGGTGGTGGTAGCGGTGGTGATGGTGGTGGTGGTGGTGTTGGGGTGGGAAAGAGCTGTTCTGGAAAGAAACAAGGGAAAGAGTAGAACCAATTTCAAGCAGCCGAGTGGTGAAGTTGAAGGTATGTGACCCTATGACCTCGCAGGTAGATGACCAGAAAGAACGGCCATCTGCTAACGCATCTTGGCAAAGGAAATGGAGACCAAGTGCAATGGTTGGCGATGCGACATCGCGGCGGATGGATAGTAACGGCAGGTTGGGAACAGCTGGTTTCTACTGAGCTCCAGGCCACACACGTTCCAATTCTCCAGAAGAAAAGTCCCTACACACGATGGAAGTGTCAAGAGCTGCTGAGGCGGTTCAGTACTCTTCTTGCTGCTGGGGCTGCTGGTCATGGGCTTGCTCCTCGGCTTCTGGCTCTTCTGTTTGGCCCTCCTGTGGGGGAGGGGACAGGTGTCAGCCAAACTGATTTCTGTGAGACCCTGTGAGGTGCCAGTCCCAATCACCATGAATCACCAAAACGCCAGGCTCTGGAGTACCCTAGACTCAGGCACAACTCAACATTCCAATGTTCCTAGCCTCCAGGTGTCAATGCTAGATACAGGGACATTCTCACATCCTTGTGCCATCTAAGGAGGATCATTCTGACAAGCGTAACTGTCAGGAGTTCGGGACCCATCTTCTCTACCAACTGCTCTGCAGGAGGTCGTCATAGGACACACTGTACTTTCCGACCCTCAGCAAGAGTCGCTGTGTCAGACACAGTGAAGTGTCTCAACAGCCGCGTGACTGCAAAGATCCCAGGCCCTTGCAGATGTGCAGGACTGTTGTCTCTCCCTCATGGCCCATGGCTCATGACTTACTGTTCCCTCTGAGGCTGTCATTTCTCATGACATCTAATGTCAGTATAAAGTAGACTTAAGACACCAAATAAAAAAAAAAAAAAAAAAGCAACTTGTTAGTTCCTGAGGGGAAGGAGACGGGTGACAGGCATTTCACAGGCTGATGTAGGCAAAGAGGCCCCTTTCAGCATTGTGCTCAGAAGCTCTGGCTCCAGGACCCTGTCGTGTTCTTTGCAGGGTGTGAGGCCCTATCTGCTTACCTTCTGCTCACTGACTGGGAAGCAGAAGGGCCAACGTTCCTTTGCTTGGCTCCACGAGGCCTACTTACTCAGTGAAGCGGATCACAGGCCTTACCTCAGCCTCAACTGCAAATCCTTCCTTTTTTTTGTTTTTTGAGGTCACAAAGAATAATTAGTTTTTTTTATCACCCAAGCAGAAACAGTGAGGCAATAGATAGTGGCTAACTGCCCTCAGGAACGGCACAGGACTTCAAGATGCAGTGTGGCATGCACACTGGCACGTGACACACTGACTTCTGGTCTGCCAAGCCCACACTCTTCCTGGCCCTATCGCGTGTAGCCTGGGACACACCGGTCAGGATCCAAGTCAGACAGGACTTCACCATCTCCCCGAGTCAGACACACACCTCCCTCTCTCCTGCATCTGTCAAGCTCACTTGGGGATGGGGATCAGCACTCACAAGCTTGGATCCCCAGAATTGCACAACAGAAGTCAGGCATCTCCCTCAGCTCCCCAAACAAAACTCACTTGGAATCTTGTTTGTCTGGAGCCGTTTCTATTGGAGCCTGACATTCTGGAGATGAGCAGCCGTGTTCAACTGAATCACGTCCCATTCTCTACAGCATTCAGTGTACGCCATGTCAAGAGGAAGAAGTCAGATTCCAGAATGGATCACCATGACAGAGACAAGCCAGGGCTGTACGGCACTTTCTCAGAGACCACATGTTACGGTTATGTGCACTGACTATGGAGTTCTCTGCCCAGCTCTGCAGTTTCTGACCTGTGAGGCTCTGGGCTTACAGGGCAACTGCTGGACTCAGTCTTCTTGACTGTATAATGTGGGCAACAGGAGTACTCAGGTAGTAGAGTTTACAGTGTGTCTTACCGATCAATTCAACAATGCATCCGTTTCACCCAACAGAGAATCCTGTGAGTTAAAACTGGTAATATGCTTAGCTGGATTTTTTTCCATAGTCAATATATTAAGTATGAGCAGTGATTAGAATTTCTTAGTGGGAAAACACTTTGGAATCTATTTCAGATGAACAATGAAAAGAAAGTTACCCCTTCTATAGCAGCCAAAAGTGCAAAGTCACATCAAACTGAAGACCCGAGACTGATTCTAGTTGTATCCCTCATTGGCTCTGGGTCAAAGGCCACAGTTTGGTAAATGTGAGCTCCGACTATACCCATCACCACACCGTTTTCACCTCTTAGAATCGTTCCGTCTTGAGAAGGTAAAAGCAAATATCCTTCTCTGTCTTTTCTTTTTCCGACCCTCACTCACACTCCGTGTCCTGGAGCTTTGCCATGGCTGCATTTTCGGCAACAGCCTCTGCCAGCCACTTTGCCCACTGCTTGACATGCATGGTAGTAGCCCTCTCGGTTTAAGGAATTAGGGCCTTGGCCAACAGCGGCACTGTCGGGCCAACCGGCAATGTGAATGGTCACAGATCAGGCAGCAGGTGCTGGCCCTGGTCAGAGCAGGTGGCTCTCTGCTCTAGGGGATATGTGGGAGGGTCCAGGGTTCATTCCCCACATAAAAACATACTTCTGGAAGCTTCTCTCACTATCCCTACTCCCATATTAATGGGTCCATCTTTCGTTCTCCCTTCTGTGTGTATTCTACTGGGCAACTCCCCAGCTTCCTCTGCAGCCAGGCTCTAGCCCCTACTACGCTGGAGATGCTGACTTACTAATTATACCAAGTCTTCAGTCCATTGTGCTGCCTTCCATATTGCAGCTAGCCCTCCGTTGCCTGAAACACACTTTTCTAACATGATTGTTTCTATGAGCGGTCTCAGACAGGAAATGCGCTTTGCATTTTACAGACAATCTCATCGTTGTTGGGAGTTAACTGTGGGATTACAGTTACTCCGTGACCGAAAGCAGGAGGACTGGGCTCCAGTAAGCATGCAGCCAGGAACAAGCGACAGGTTGTGATTCCTGGTGCCTAGTCAGGTCCCTCTCCTCAGATCGGGTCAAGCAAGGGGGTGGTTCTGTGGCCGATAGCTGGAGAAGGCAGTTAGTCCCCACACGCACCAGGCTGAAGTGTCAGTCATGGGCCATGGGAAGACTGCTGGAGACGCCATACGCCCACAGTGGCTGCTGATCTCTGGGACAGCTTATTGGGCAAGACTAGAATAAAGAGCAAACACGCCCTGTTAGCTGCTTTGCTCACGCTTGGGCACAGGCTGACTCAGGGCTCTCACAGGGCTACCACAGGCTCCCTGTAGGTGTCTACGTGAAACCTATGTCAAACACGGGACCCATACACTGGTGATTCACAAGACAGATACTGACATTTCCATGGCAACCCATTGCACTTCCTTAAATGCTTAGCTGTGAGTGATGTTACTATTTTTACTTTTGCCATCACCATACAAAGAGAGGAAGGTTGGGAGACAAGGTCAAAGAAGGGTCTTGGCCATGGTTGATGGAAAACGAGGTCAAAGGTCACCAGGACCTGATGTTCCTGCTCCCTACATGGGAAACACTTAGCCTTATCCCCCATTGGGTGCCAGCCACGGCCAGCTGTGCTTTTCCCTCCCAGCTTGGCTCTGTAACAGCTGATGTCCCTAGTCAGTCCAACCTCCAACACAAATGCCATCTTCACAGTGACATCTGCTGGGCTCTCCAGGCTGTGTGTGTCCCACACACGTTATTTATGTCTGATATCACATTTATCACAATCTGCCACAGTTTCCAGTCGGCCTTATCCCTGGTTGTCTCCCTCCTTAGGTCTGTGAGTTCTGAGGTAGTGGGTGTGTCTATCTCTGGATACCTAGCACTTCAAGTTCAGTGGAGTGCACAGAATTCCCAGTGACAGAAACACAGTCGTTTCCAAAAAGCACCGAGGAGAAAGGAAGTCTTTAGTTCATTTTAACAGTGGTGTCCATGACGGTCAGTATCTCTGAAAACGAGCAGCTGTTTATTAGCTGGTAGACCTCTGCTGACAGGATCCACATGGCAGCAGGCAGCCAAGGATACAGCTAAGGCACCTGTGGCCCCCAAGTGACACATGAAGTGTCAGGGAATGATACAAGGACGTAATGAGAACCATAAAGAGACACTATACACCTGGCTAGCAACCTGTTCTGGAGCCTTCCACGAGGTTACCACACTTCCAAACTGAATAACCTCCTGACCGTGCTGCTCTAAACTAGATTTTTACATCTTATAAGCATCATATTTGGGGACTGTGTGACTCTCAGAGTCGGAGACCAGTAGTCACCAGCAAAAGAAGATTCAAAGATCACTTATGGGAAGAGATCACCCATCAAATCCTTATCCTGGGAAACCAAGCCATGCTCACACTGTTTAGACAAAGAGGTCTCACGACAATCCAGCCTTTGATTCCATCTTCCATCCACCTCCGGGAAAGCTAGCAGCTGGACACCTCTGCCACCTCGGGCAGTTACATACACTCATGCTGAAAGCCGCAAACAAAATGTAGATGTTTCTTCCTGCATCCCAGACACATCAGACTCACCCCTAGGTGTGGAAATGGCCCAGAGCAGGATGGCCTACAGTATCAGGGCAAGCACGGTGGGACTAAAGGAAGCTCTGGGGGTTGTGGGTGGTACTGTACCATGACACAGAGGCCACCGAGCATGCATTTCCAAATAATGCTCTTCAAGGGTAGGCAGCCACTGTCTTAGACCCACTCTTCTCTAGGGCTGTCTGTGCTTCAGGGAGGCAGCTATGCTCCTCAGAGAGGGAGGTGGATGCTTGAAGTCTCTGAGGTTTCTTAGGTGACTCCTTGAGCCTCTAAAAAGGAAGTAGAACAGACTGGGCCAGCTGTGCCAGAGCCTTTTCACAGAGCATGTATTGTGTGCATGTGTGTGCATGTGAGTGCATGTGTACATGCATGTCATGTGTGCGAGTGTGTATATGTGTGTGTACATGCATGTCGTGTGTGCGAGTGTGTGTATATGTGTGTGTGCATGCATGGCAAGTATATACTCACCCAGCATGGTGTGTGCACATAATCTTTCCTCTTCTTACTGTAGAAACAAGGTCTAGAAACCCAGGTCTCGGGTCTTGTCCTGCTCTAAGCAAGGATTCTGGTATAGTGTGGATCAAATGCCTTATTCTCCGTGGGAATCTCACTGCAGCCTGATGCCTCTTGGGAATTTTCCAGACACAGAGTTGCAATGTAATGTATCCCGAACTCAACACACTAAGCCAAGGGGCTGCATGAGGAGACAGTGCCGCAGCTGCACACAGGGATGCAGCCTATTTCCCTTCAGGGAAACACCTCACAAAAGAGCAAACCCCACCCATACATTCCTCAGAGATGGGAGAGCAATGGGCTCAGGATTCAGATTCTAGTTGCTTACAAAGTACTGAAGCATTTTGCTGCCTCAGTTTCTCTACTGAAGGGAGCTGACGGATCTGATAAAGTATTATACATAGCACAAAGGCCCCACTCCAGGCGTCTGAGGGAAGCTCCAGTGAACCCATTCAGCCTGACTCAGCGAAGGAGCTTTAACCTCTGTGACCGTGTCCACAGTACAAGAACTGTTCTGTGGCTCGAGTGGGTGGCAAGGTGTGCCAGGGTGTGGGGGGACTGGAACGGCAGAGCGAAACTGAGTGTGGACATCCGGGCAGGACCTCCTCCAATCACACTCCGAGTTCTCGCTTCGGGATCACCTGTCGGTCCTCAGCCAGGAATTCATACAATGCCCCAGGCCAGATTTCAGCACAGGTCTCCCTCCTGGGACCAGTTCTGGCTTTGAAAAAGGGTTTCGGATGGGAAGACCCAAGCAAGCCTGTTGGCCTTGCTCCTGCCAGCACCCACGGCCACAGATGGCAACCCTATGCACTCGGCCTCCCAGGATCTGAAGGGCTCCTCTGATGTCATCTCTAGTAAGCTTCAGAGGCAGCCCCAGTAACTGATGTGCGCCTGCCAGAACACATTACGTACATTCTCAACGGCTGCTACAAACCAGCCACTATGCTGAGAGTCACATTCTGTGACATCATCATGGTCTCAGGGACTTAACTAGGCGGAGTCCCGAGGCTTCAAAATCCACACATTGAGCTACTCGTCACCCAGAAAGAAGTTAAAAAAAAAGGAGAGAGAGAGGAACGAAAGCACGGTGGGGAGTTCCCAAACCTGGCACAGTTCCTGTAGCTGGTGGACGTTCCAATGCTAGGATTTTAAGCCAGATGTGGAGAAAACATCTGCCTTTGGCTGGAATAAGACAAAATAAGCTTTCAGGTGGCTTGCTGTGGTCTGTGGAAACATGTGACTCCCCCCAGTTCCCTCTGCAGCCCACAGGCCTCCAGGTCGGAGAGCCAAACACTTGAGCGGCTTTGGCCTGGGGTAAGGAGACCCTCAAGCCCAGCCTTGGCATCTTGCCTCCCACGGCTCAGCTCGGTAGAAAGGGGAAGCTCCAACTGGTATCTGACTTCTGCCTTGGGGCCAGGCTTCGCCTCTCGGCAGACACACACTGCACTGACTCACCGAGGTCTCTGTAGTTTATCCTGCCTGTCAACTGTTTGGTCCGCAGCATCCTTCCCTACCCGTGTCCATTGTTCTCAATTCCTTTCTCCTTCCCCTTTTTCCTCTTCTTTTCCATTTCTTTTCTTTCCTTTCTCCCTCCCTCCCTCCCTCCCTCCCTCCCTCCCTCTCTCCCTCCCTCCCTCCCTTCCATCTTCCTTTCAGGACAATGTCTCACTATGTAGCCCTGGCTGGCCTGGAACTTGCTGTGTAGACAGGCTGGCCTCAAACTCAGAGATCCACTGGCCTCAGCCTCCTGAGTGCTGAAATTAAAGGCATGTGCCACAATGCCTGGTTTTCATTTTGTTTTTTTAAAAACAGGGTCTCACGTAGCCCAGGGCAGCCCTGGATTCACTATGTATTCCTGACACTCCTGCCTCCATCTGCCAAACGCTCCGATGACAGCTGAGCCCCACCACGCTCAGCACACCTCTTCGTTGCCTTCAAGAAGCCACATCCCGGATCTCCCCCTGCACCCTTGCTCAGTGACAGGTCCTCCCTACAAAGAAGTGTTTTCAGTAAGGTCTGTCCACGGTCTGGTCTGTTTTGGCAATGAGGAACAAAAGCAACCAGCTATGTGATTAAAACAGACAGCAGTGGGGCTCAAAGGGATGGGAAAAGTTTTCTTCTCACTTAGCAATCCTCAGAAAGCAGACCTTCGTACAACCCCTTCCCTGTTCATCTCCTCAAAGCTGAAAAGTGCCTGGGGTCTGGCTGTGTGTTTCACAGCCCCACCTCTGCCAGATGCCTCCCAGGCTAACCTGAGGCTGCTCATCCCGCAGGCATGGGAGAAAGAACAGAGATCTTGATGACGAACAGACTCATTTCTCTGGAACCATCAAGGCTGCCAGCTAAGTTGTAGCCTCCTCAAGACCCCAGGGAAGTACTTACGACGGAGGATGTGTTGCACTTTGAACAATAGTTTCAGAACTCAGGAGCTTTGGTAGGTAATATAAATAATTAAAAACAAAGAGCGGAGGAGTGTGGCTTCGCACGCACCTGCTCGTCTGAAGCATAGAGTACTTCCATTAGTCGCTGCACAAGGTCATCGTTTTCCTGCCCATGTTCCTGGCACAGCACTTCGATCTCTCTCAGCTTCCCGAAGTAGAAGTCCCTCTCCTTCTCCACACCTTCTAGGGCAAGTTTCAACGAATGTACCTGCAGGAGAGTGGGGTGGGGAAGAAAACCCCGAAACAGAGTAAGAAGTGTGACCCGCTATGTCTGCGCGCCACGATGCTACATGGAGCCGGACACAGAAATAAATGGAAATGTAAGTGTAAGGGAGAACCAGCAGGCCCGGAGTCCAGTCAAGAGCATGCTGGCCACTTCTGCTGCTGTGAGTGTTTATCAGTCAGTCAGGGTGGACTATGTACCTGCGTAGCTGTATCTGAGCTTACACAGCCTTTCTTTTCTTGGTAACAAGGGCTGGACCACATCTTGTTGCTATGGTTAAGGATATCGGCATCTCCCCAGTTCTTATGCTGGAATCCTACAATGTGATGGCCTCAGGAAGCAGGGCCTTTAGGAGCTGAACGAGATTTGTTTATGCAAGAAGCCTAAGGGATCCTTCCACCTTCTCAACATGAGAAGACCAAGAAGACTGGGTCTTGGCTAAACAACCGATCTGCGGCCACTTTGATATTGGACCTCACAGGCTCCAGAATGGTAAGAAATAAAATTCTGTGGCTCACAAGCCACCCAACATAAGATGTTTTGTTACAACATCCCAAACAGACTCAAAATACTCCTTTTTAACCTACTGGGGAGGGAGATAAGAGAGTTGTATTTTGTTTCTTTTATTTCTGTTTTGTTTTTCGAGACAGGGTTTCTCTGTGTAGCCTTGGCTGTCTTGGAACCCACTGTGTAGAGCAGGCTGGCCTCAAACTCACAGAGATCTGCCTGCCTCCGGAGTGCCGGGATTAAAGCCTGGATTACCACTGCCTGACTGAGAGTTGTGCTTTTGAACTAACCCTTCCTTCAGATCATTGATATTGAGAGCCACTCCTAAAATGTGAGTCAGAGCAGACAAATGCAGTCCTATGCAAGGGCAGATCCTGGTGCACCCAGAGCATGGGGCAGGAGTGGAAGGCCGGCTGGGTCAGTCCGCCTCCATTTGTCCAGTCCTGGCTTTGTGTGTATCACTGCAGGGCAGGGTGGTGGAGGCTGCAGACAAACATGGCTCGCAGTTCTGCCATGCCCTAGAGGTGGGCTTAGGGACCTTCGAGTGCTGTGAAGTTGTGAACTTCCGGGTCAGTGCAAGCCACAGGCTAGAGCCAGCAGCCAAGGCAGGACCACAACACTGACAGGGGGGTGGGGGTGTTGTCTGTACCGAAAAGGCTTGCCGACTTCAGGGTGCAACTCTCTGACATGCATAACAGCTACACACAGGTCCAAACTATTCCCTGTTCCTGGAGAACCTTCTATTTTGTATTACTTTATTCATTTACGTTTATGCAGAGCAAAGATTCTAAATGAGGGGTCGTGACTCTGCACTGGGTTGTTTGACTGAACGGAAGTGGGATTACAAAACTATCAGGCAACAGCAGAAACTTGTGCTGTTCATCAGTTAAAACTGATTAGAGATAGAATGCACGGTGGACTCGAGGTGTTTCTGGCACAGCTTTCCTGTGCGGCACCCTGTGACTTCACTGCAGCCGTGGTGGGGAGCACCTGACACCGCACCATGCACGCTGTCAGCCCACACATGCTGCCTGAGGCGCCTCACCTCAGATGGGAGCTTTCCAAGGCTCGCACTGCACACATTGTTCTTACAGAAACACGCTGGTATAATTACAGAAAACAAACACTAACCCGTCCACTGTCACTCCCTAACAAGCAAGAAGCAAATTAGTTGGCTTGTCTGGTTCTGTCAGACAAAGAAACACCACTTCATTCGAGTGCAAACTTGCCTTTTTTTGTTTTTTTTTTGGAGACAGTCCTGTCTGGCCTTGAACCCACTGAGATCCACCTACGTGCCTCTGCCTTCTGAGTCCTGATTAAAGGTGTGTGCCACCATGCTGGCTCCAAAGAACTATTTTAAGATAAAATTTCTTTATGATTTATGACTAGGTCATTTGTTTTGTTTTCCCCTTTTATAGTCCTATGAACCCGGGGTCGCTTGAAATTTCTGGAGGGAAAAGAGGTTGTGGGTGCAGATGGCTGAAGAAACCTTGGCATAGCAAACACTGGGGAATAAAATCTCATGGTTTCTTTTAGGTGAAGTTTGCTTCACCTAAAAAAAAAAAAAAAAGAAATCCTGCACATTATTTTTAGTAATTACTTTTGAGGTGTAAAATCTCCTTTTTTTGTTTATTTATTTTTTAATAAGTTGGGCTTTGGGTGTGTGATCTCTGGAATTACTGACATTCAAACACATACTGGTACATATAGCCATTCCTTTACCCCATATCTGGCAAACAGTTCTATGCTGGGAGGAGCCCTTAGTCTGATCTCACGGATGCCCTCATGCAAGCACTTCCAATGAAGTGTGGGTTCAGTTAGTTAAGCCTGACTTTTTATTCCTGTTGAGACTACACACCTGCAAACACACACGGTGATCAGCTTGCACTTCAGAAACAGGAAACCTCCCTGGTTCTGATCCCATCTCTGACCCAAACCAAGCAGAGATATTCCTTTAGCTCCTTTCCACAGATGCAGCTCAGAGGAGAGTTTACTGTGACCCACAGATCGGGGGTCAGAGGGCATGGTCTGTGGCACCTGGAGCCAGCCACAGCTGCTTGTGTTACATGGTGCTGGCCAGGAAGTAGCAACCCAGAAGAGAAGTGGGACTGAGCTACATCCTTCGAGGCCTACCACATTCCAGCGAGGCCTCAACTTCCGGTTTCCACAACCTCCCCTGACAGCACAGCCGGCTGGGAACCAAGTGTTAAAACACACAGTGGAGGATGGGGTGGAATTCGCATCCAAATCCCAGCAGGCACAGCCAACCTACAAAATCCAGGCTGTGCCTGTGGACTGCGGTCTGCACAGCACACCAAGGCTTTTGTGGAAACACTCAGCGTGAGCTGGGTCAGGCTGGCATTCCTGATATGTTAGCAAAGGAGAATGAACCCATCAATACCTGTCCCCCCCAACCTAAAAACTGATGTCAGCTGGTAATGGTGGTGTGCACCTGTAATTCTGATATTCAAGAGACTGAGGCAGGTGAATCGCTGTGAGCTCAGATCCAGATTGGTCTACAAAGTAAAAAAAAAAAAGCAAAAAATTCTGGCAGTAGCTACTTTAAAGGAACAAAGATCAGCTAGCAAACACAATTCCGTCCGAATGGTGCCACCAAGAGACAAATGGCCAGCCAGCCTCATCCCTCACGGGTCACAGATGCCTAGGTGACAGGCTGAGGAAGTCATGTTCAAAGGGCGAAGTTGCTTTCCTAACTTCCCAGCAGTGTCCAGACTTGGGTCCCCCAGAGGCCCCGTGACACAGTGGCTCCAATCCATTTCCTGCAGGCTAACCCACTGTCCAGAAAGTCTCATTTATGCCTCTTCCTTCCGTCTCTTCCGCTTCTCTGCTATCACTGGAGTTGTGGGGCACAGTGTGCTTCTGCTGTATATCATGGGAGACTGCCTGAATAATGGAACGGGGCCAAGTAAATGAAAATTCTTTAAGTTTATGGCAGTTGTCGCTTTCTCTATTACCACCATAATTCACGCTTCTGCTTCTGCATTTCCACCAGGCCTCTCCGGGTCCCTGTGTTCTCCGTTCCAATACTGGGACCCTCGTGTTGCTACCACCCACGACCCTCAGGGTCTTCCTCCTGGAGGCTTGAAGGGCCAGCAGTTGGACTCAGGTCACCAGGGAAACGAACCACGATGAGAACTTGGTAAATACCTGTCCAGTTTAGGTTGTGCTTTCCCTGCCTTCTGAAGGACAGAGTGGACGTAGGTATGAAGGTGTTGGGGACAAGAAGGGGAACAAGGCCTCTGGTAGAAGTACTCCAGGAAGGACAACAGGTAGACCATTCCCCGCTCCTGCCACTTCCGTCCCCTCTTGACTGGCACCAGGGATCAGCAAGGCATGTTGGAACTAGACCCCCTGCATGTGATTTGAGAGCTGAAGGAGACCTAGGAGCAGCCACAGGGAGAGGAGGCAGCTGACTCGCGGAAGCCACGAAGGACTGGAGACATCTAGGGAACTGGAGTTTTCCATGTGGTCAGAATTGGGTCACTGGGTTGGAACTATGCTGAGGTGGACGGAGAAGGTGTGTGTGTGTGTGTTTGTGTGTGTGTGTGTGTGTGTGTGGTGTGTGGTGTGTGTGGGGGTGTTGGTCAGGAGACCTGAGTGCAAGTTGCTAATGATAAAGAAAGTTTTGAGCTGCTTTGGGGCAGAGGCATAAATCCAGGGCTCTAGAGCACGGTGAACCCAGGCCTGATTTTCACCTTCCACCTGGGCTCGTGTCACCGTCCACTTGGGCTTGCGTGAAGTCTCAAGCTTACGGCCGAGGCTCATTAACTGCCTTTCTCCCCCTTTCTTTAACTCTGAGCAGAAGTCATTACTGGAAAACGCCTGGCCCCCGATAGACGATCAGCAGATAACTAGAACACGCCCGGTTATCCAATCAGAGTCCTAAGGGGACTTAAGATTTTACCTGAAGTGCTAACGCGACCAACTCAAAGCCTGTGGGACTCTGTACTGGAATCCTGACTGAGAATACACAATTATTTATAAACAAAACAAAATAAAACGACTGTTCTCGGACTCTTGCCTTATCAAGCAGAAGATGAAGGGCTAGGCCAGGCTCAGTTTGTGGCTGGGCACAGCCTATGGATCTGCAGTGAAAGGTTCCTTCCCAACGGGGGAGACCTGGGGCGGGAAGCAGGAGGCTTTACAGTGGGCACCGCACTGCCCAGTGGTTTAGTAACCTTAAGCTGTATTACTCTAGGCAGAATGGAGTATCATGAGTTAGAAGTCATTTTGGATCAAACCCAGAGCCTCCTGTGTGCTAGACTGGTGCTCTCCCACAATGCCACACCCCACCCTGTACTTAGGGTTTCACCTTGGAAATGTCAGCTGGTGTAGCTAGGCTTACCATAATTATCAGAGGGCTGATACGTTGGGAAAATTTCTATTTAAAACACAGATGTTGCCTTTTAGGGCTCCCAGGCACCCCACTTCTGACACTGTAGAGAGGGCTGGGTTTTTTTTTTTTTTTGGTCCGTTTATTCATTTGTTTAATTTCAGTACAAAGTTCTGATGTTAATAGGCTTTGAGTGAGGGGACAGTATCATCCATCTTGCTATCATTATGCCCCCGGAATCAAGCACAGTGTCCACCACATAAAAGAGGCTCAACCCCTAGCTGTTGAAAAAAAAAAGGGGCGGAGAGGGAGCCAGCTGAACGCTAATATAGCCATAACACTTTTCAGACTGGCCGGGAGCGGGCAGGGAAGGCCTGGGGTTCAGGATGGAAGGATAACCTGCATCATCTTCCACATCCTCACACGCGGTGTCAGCTCTGTAACTAACAGTGCTCCTCCCCAGCTGTGGAGTCTCCCTTCTGGAGCAGATCCTCCTGGTCTCACCTTTTCTCCCTTCCCCCAGGCCTGTGGGTGTGACTTCCTCACCCCTCGCAAACAGCACTGTTCCCAGAGACTTGGGTGGAGACAACGTGTTACCTGCTCGTTGAGCTGTATGACCTGTGTTTCTAAATCTTTGTCAGATCTGGATGCAGAGCCACTGGATGAAGCCCTTTTGGCAGACGAGGGGCGAGAAGGTGTGGATCCCGGCTTAGCTGCTGGGCTCGATTTAGCCGCACCTAGAAGCAAGCAGAGTATACTATGAGTAGAGCCAACATTAAAAGACTTTCGTGTAGAATGAGAATGCATGATATAAAACGAGCCTCCTACATGCTACAGGCAATGTGCCAACCCCCCCCCCCCCCCCGTACAGTCAGAAGCGAAGCACACCAGCAAGTCCGTGTCCTGTGACAACTGCACACTAAACCTCAGAACAGCCGCTCCTCAAGAGGAGGTTAACCCCTTCCCTCTGGGCCTAAAATCACAGCTACAGTGAACCTAAGAGGAAAGGCTTTAGGGGCTGGGGAGCTAGCTCAGTGAGTCAGTGCTTACTGAAGAAGCCTGAGGAGCTGAGATCTGCGGAACCCCTGTGAAGCCAGATATGCTAGCCCAGGGCTCCTCCTGGGAGAGGGGAGGTGGAGGCAGGAGACTTCCTAGAGGCTCACTCAGGGACAAACATGGACAGCGAGCGAACCAATGCCAAGTTGTACTCTGTCCTCCACCACATACGTGTACCCCCCCATAAACATGTGTTCACATATCACATACACATGAATGATAGGAAATGTTCTTCAATCATCACACAGAATCGCTGTACGTGTGTTTTTAAGAGCAAAGGCCCCAATGACAGGTTCAAACCATAGAAGAAATGCTGGCCCAAGGTATGTGCTTCCTTTTAGCATACCCTGTAGCTCCCGTGACAGAGGAGGGGCAATGACATCTCCATGGCAACGAGCACCCTGATGTCCAATCTCGGTTTCTAAATGTCACTCTTCAACAGAAGGGCTTCTTGAGAAGCTGCTGCTGACAGGGATGGTGCAGAACTGGAGAGGTAAGCTCAGGACAGTTTGTGGCAAGAAGCAAAGACACACTCAAGGCAAGGGACATGAGGACCAGCTTGGAAGGGGCAGTCTGCTTAGCACAAAGAATAGTGGCTGTATCTTATGAAATGCCTTGGGCACATGATGAGGGGAAGGACGAGAGGAGTATACAGGGTGTACAGACTGAGCACCAGGGAATGCCGAGGAAACGCTAGAAGAAACACAGATCTGTAGTATCCCTAGTAACCCCCCAAGCTGCCCCTTAATGGGTGTGGAGGCATTTGATGGGAGATATGACAGGGAGAAACCTTCACAGTGGGTAAGTTCTGGGGTCAGCACCATAGCCACAGGGTTAGCGAGTTATTTCAGGTGAACGGTCACCCACCCGACACTCAACCCACGGTGGACTTACTGTCCAGAACATAACACAAGACACCAGAGGAATGGCTTCTGGAGCCAAAACAGAAGCAACTAGGTATATGGAGAGAGTTCATGTGCCTCTGAGTAAGAGCTGAGCCACTCCTGGGGCCCACCCCTTTGTTTTGAACACAGTCCCAGACAGGCAACATTCCTGGTTTCCCTGTCTGCAAGTATCTCCCGTGTGTTCCCTCCACCCAATTAAAATTTCCACCACAATCTCGCATCCTCTCCCCTTCTAGAAGGTTCTTAGAGGGCAAGGAACAGTCTTCTTCACGTCAGCAACCCCAGTGCCTTGTAAAATGTTAGGCTAAATATGTTTGGTAAAGGAACCACTTTAGATAAATAGATAAAGAAGCAATTAAAACTTGGCTATGCAGCTTCCAACTTCAGTTTCCAGTTTTCCCGACAGAGGAAAAGGATTATAAAAACAGGCACGGAGCAGCAGCTGCAGGTTTCAACCAATACCTTAATTACAACGTAGTCAGCAGGAAGGCTGTAAAATTTATATGGTGTGTCTTCAGGTGCCTGGAGACACGGGATACAGATGGGAGTCTTACGCACCTCTGAGAAGCCTTGACAGTGTCACGGCCTTTAAATAACATCTCCTTTGTTACAACAGGGGGAAAAGAATCTTCTTTGAAGACGCCGGGGAAGGGCGAAGAGATTTGAAATGGTTAGGCTGTGAATGACTTAAATTGGTCAGTGTTTGGAAAGGGTCAATCAGTGCGGCCCAGAAACCCTCCCTATGCACAAAGCGAATGAGGGACCCCAGGGAGTTATGGCTGCTTGGAACGGGCAAACTGCTGTGAGACCTTTCCTCTTTGTTGAAGCCCAGGCTGAATTCTTCCAGCACCTAACTTCTCGGTTCTACCACACGGCTTCTCTGGCTGTAAACAGACTGATGAGGGAGAAGACAGGGAACACAGTGACCTTCTCCAGACAGCCACTGGGCTATCATCAGGGAAGGCCACTTTTGCAACCATCAAGCCCTTTCAGGTGACTTTAAAAAGCAAGACTGACATTTTACTAGACAGGGAGTCTAATGGAAAGACTGCAAAGAGGAGAGCTTCTTATCTAAGAACCCGTACGAAGGGGTTCACCACAGCCATGAGCAGGGGCTGCTAAAGTGATGGAGATGCAGTCTCTCCCAGACTGACAGTCACTTGCGATGCCCAGACACGGTGCTCTTGGTCTTCTTGGGAACAGGCCAGTGTTCTGGGATGCCGTGCCTGCCAAGAGTGTGCGTGAGGCAGTCTTTCCTCTGTATTCAGCGTTCTCCTCCCCTTTAGTCAACCCTGCGTCCTTTTAGTAACTAGGGCTTCCATCCTTCAGGTCTCTGCTTGTGCTGTCTCATCCCCTGGAGGCCACAGTGCCTTGAACATTTCCTCAGAGGCTGTACGAACCACACCAACGTGACGACACTGGATGCTTCTTCTTGCATGGGGCATAATTTCAGGGATGCTGGAGCTGCATCTATCTCATTTGCCACTGACAAGTGCAGGAAGTGCAGCAACTACAGCAAGTGCAGCTCCTGACCTGGCCGCATTCTGTGCACTGTCGGAGTTGCTAGGTACCGAGCAGAGGCAGTGAGTCAGCAATGACACCCAGGCAGGTTTGAGGCACTGATGCCAACGTCAAAGTCTGGCTGCAAGAGCCAACATGAACGAAACCATTTGGGCGTCAGCCTTCCAGCTGGGCTCTTCTGATGTTTCCTTTCCAGGCCCCCTTTGTACGTTACAGTGTGGGGCTCCTTCCATGTGGAATCTGGCCAATCCACTGAGAGAGTGAGTGTGGCCAGCTGATGCTGAAATGGGGTAGGAGCCAGGTAGTTGGTGCTGGGCTGCCACTGGCCTCTTGAGGACCACAGAAAGGCCTTCCTAAGAGAGTACATATATACTCTCCAGGTCAGGCAGTTCTTCCTAAGGAGGTCATCAAAAGGTAACTAAGCTCAAGTCACTAGGTAGTCACGCCCTCACATTCTGACATCAGTTCAAAAAGAAAAGTATCCAAGAGAGGCAGAAGGTTGGTAAAGCTTGTCAACACAGAGCCGCCACTAACTATGACTGCAGGACCAGACCAAATGTAAATTTAAAACAAACTTAACTGTTAGATAAATAGGAGAGGGGAATGGTAAGCCGATCTACAGGCCATGGAGGCTGGGGTGACATGACCTGTATGTCATAGGAGAGAGGCCAGAGCTGGTGGTAGAGTGGCTACAGCCACACAGCCTCTCAGAAAAACTGTCTTTTCTTTGTGGAAACACATCCTTGCTGTGGACAGAGGCCAGCAGACCTCTCTGAGGGTCTGATTCTCCAAGCCCATGGGCTCAGCCTTAAAATAACGCTGGTTTCTTGGGTCCTATAGAGGTCAGTTGATACCCAGAAACCAGGTCTTTCATGCTGGCCTACATGAACATCTATCTCTTAGGGATCCCTGAGGTGAGAAAGAGGAAAACATGAGAATCAGACTTGGGGTGTCAGTTGCTCCACCACACACACACCCACACACACACCCACACCCACACCCACACACACAATTCTGATTAGGTTGTTCCGAGAGAAGCAAACAGAGAGAAATCAATGACAAGTGAGGACGAAGCACTGAGGGACAAACAGGGAGAAAGTAACGAATGAGGACATCTTATTCTTCAGCATCTTCTCATACATCAGAGTGTTACACGGAAAGCTTCCTTCAGAAGGATGCATAGCAAGTACACTAACACCTCACGTGACACACTGAGAGGGACACACTTACCCTCACACAGCTCAAACACCCAGAGAGCTGCGACAGGTAAAGGAGGTGAACGCAGCCTGTGGCTTCCACACTCACTGACATGAACTCCCTGGCATCTACACTTTCTTCCGGAGTATGGAGGAGTAGGCAGTCTCCTCAAGCTCTCCACATCCCCTGTCAGCTCAGAACAGTTTCTGTTCCCTTATTAGACATGCCTCTGTCTTCTTCCTTCAAAGAACTACAATCTAAAGTCTATCTAACTTCTAGGGCCAGGTATTTTTATCTTATTTACTGGGACCAATCATCCTAAGGATGTTATCAAGAAAACATAGTTATCAATACCTGTAAAGTTGCCAGGTGGTGGCACATGCCTTTAATCCCAGCACTTGGGAGGCAGAGACAGGCGGATCTCTGTGAGCTCGAGACCAGCCTGGTCTACAGAGCGAGTTATAGGACAAGATCCAAAGCTACAGAGAAACCTTGTCTCGAAAAACCAAAAAGAAAAAAAAATCTGTAAAATTAGTGTTGGTGTAAGACATTTACATAAATTACAATTGTTTTTCCATCTCCTCAAGTAACCCAGGCCACGTCTAGTGTCTGATCCTGGCTTTAGAGATGAAGGTCCTCAATGGCTATTTTCTTAGCAACCCAAAGGCTCAACTCCACCAGAGATTCTGTTTCTGTGTCTTCCCAGGTCTCATGCTTCAAGGATGAACACGTGGTACACACTGGCATCGTGGCTTTTAAAGGCAAGGCAGCCACTCTGGCTACAATTCAGATACAGCTTTTTCCTTACAGCTATCAATCACTTGAATTTCTTTCAAGCTGCGTTTGATGATGTCCTGAGACCACAATTAGCAGAAGCCCTGTTTTCTACGCAATTGTTCTGCCCTTAAGCTTTTCTCCTCCCCCTTAATTTTCCCTTTCAAAATAAAAAGGGGTTTCAGAAGGAGAGGAGAATGGACATAAACTCTGTTCGAGTCCCTGTAATTCTCAAAAATGTCCCCACTGGAGACGGACGTGATTCACAATGCCTGACTCTGAGC